TTCTTTGAGGAGAAGTTTGAGGAATATCATCTCTTGCATGCAGTGGCATAGGGCGATATATTCTGCCTCTGCTGTAGAGATATCTACAGCATGATGCTTTCGTGAAAGCCATAAGATAGGACTGTCTGTAAGCATTGTCACGTATCCTCCAACAGAGATTCTCGTGTCGGGACAGTTGGCTTAGTCAGGTTCACGGTAGACGGTCAGTTGATTGGCTAGGTTTTCCGAGGTAATATCGGTCGAGCCTCCCAGAAGAAGACCGTATTATTTCGTCCCGGATAGATACTTTAGACCACGGATGACTGCTTTTCAGTGATTCCATACCTGGATTTGCTAGGAACTGACTGACCTCTCGCATGTCAAATGCCATGTCGGGTCGAGTCCCGACCATTAAGTACACGATGCTGCCTACGGCTTGGCGACACGGAATCGATTTCATCGCATCTTTCTCTTGCTCTACTGCTAGGCTGGCTGCTTACGGAGAGGGTGGTGCTTCATTCTGCAGGTGCTGCAATAGGGTACGGAATGTAGTCGCTGATCCGGTCAACGACCTTCGTAGCGTACTTGTGCTGGTGGATAAATATCGTTCGATTCTTACGGTCGTGTTAAATGGACCAGCCGAGTAAGTACTTCACCTCCCCTAAATCGGATATAAAAATCGCTTTTATAGGGCTGATTTCAGCTCATTGACGAGTGCTGGTGCTTGCGCAATGATCCGTAAGTCATCGACGCCCACTGCAATGTAACAGGTGGTGTCACCATAGCGCGTCGAAAGACAGATCGATCTTTAATAAGTTTCAGGACCCAAGACTCTCTACGAAGGCTGTCAGGGTTTGGTACCAGACACGAGGCGCTTGCTTCAGCACGTATAAGCTCTTAACTCTTTAAGACCTGAGGTCGATTTTGGCAGGGCCTCCAAAAATGTGATCAATAAGATTACCGTATTTCGCAATTTCTACCAATGACTAATGGTCATTTATTATAGTGGTATCATTCTGGTCGAGTTAGAGTCCCAAACTGGGACTCTTAGAAAATAGATAGACAGGGCACGACAGAAGGGACCGGCAAACGTTCTATAAATGTATATACAGCCAATCGTATGCTTACGCTAGAGACCCTTCCAGGGACTTTAAGGCTTAGGTCCTAAAGGGTTAAGAAGTTTGCACACTGGGTGCTCTTTACCCGGGATTTTGAAACGTTCCGGTTGAACCATGCTCTTTCAAGTAGCCATTTCGGAAGGCGGTCTTAACATCCATTTGGTGAACTTCAAAGTCGAGAAGAGCTGCAATAGTTAGAAGTACTCTTAGTACCTCCATCCTGATGACAGGAATGAATATCTCGTTGTAGTTGATGCCATATTCCTTTGATCACAAGACGCGCTTTAAGGCGGTCAATTTCGCCAGTGCCGGTATACTTGACAACAAAGATCTATCGGCTACTTAAAAGCTTCCTTCCTTTAGGAGGGGATACCAAACACCCAAGTGTGATTGTCCATGAAGGACTAGTATTCCGATTTAGCTGCTTTATGCCACTGGTTAGCTTGTAAAGACTTCATTGCTTCCCGATACGAAGTGGGCTTAGACACATACCTAATAGCTAGTAATTTTTACAGTAAATGTTGATGCTGCTCCTCTTCGTGTATGTCTTTCTCAGAGTTGAGGTTTATGTCATTGGCTTCCTCAGAGCTATCAATGGCTTCCGCAGAGAGGCGGTGTCGCTTAGGAGTTGAATGATGCGGAGGATCAGAGTCCGTCTCCGTTCGAAAACAATAATGTATAGTTGTTCGATCAATAGCCTCTCTCAATGAGGGCAGTACATGTTGGTTCACTGTGCCTGGCGCTGTTGTCATTGCAGGGCATTAGGTGGGTGACGGTGCTGTCACTGGTTCTGACACATGTTCAGGCTCCGGTGCTACTGTACTAGCAGTTGCAGGTGGCAGAGGTACAGGTGCAGGTGTAGCGGTAGATTGCTGCCTATTCGTGTGCTGTATTGGCTCTAGAGTAGCCGTCAGGCTAGTGAGAGAGGAAAATCCGTCCTCCTTAAAGACTACATCGCGACTGTAGATAATTGCATAAGTATCGATGTCCATCAGATGGTAGCCTTTCTTAGGGTCAGGAACACCAAGATACAGACACAAACGGGCTCTAGCGTCGAGTTTGTCTCGGTATTGCACCGTGATGTGGACATATTCGCTACATCCAAGTACTTTGATGTACGGCATGGATGGAATACGGTTGTGACAAAGCCCGTACGAGGTTCGTCTATCCGTCTTGGAGCTAGGAGTCATATTGATGAGAGTGGTCACATGACAGACACACTCGGCCCATGACTGCTTGGGTAGCTTGCCGTAAAGTAGAAGGGCTCGGACACGCTCCATGATGGTACGCATGCGGCGTTCTGCAACTCCATTTTGCTGGGGTGTGTATGCATTGGTAAACTGGGCGTGAGCTCCATACTTGTTAAATATGATGCAGCCAAGCTTCTCATACTCTTTGGCGTTGTCTGCTTGAAGCCGCTGAATCTCAAAGTTGCCCTGGTTTGCATTGTCGTCAACACTGAATGTGTACCCAATGGCAGATATATCTTGTCTGTAAATATTCAGGGGTTTCTTCCTGAAATCATCGTAGCCTCACACGGTTCTTAATTGCATAAGTGAGCATGAAGCGAGAAAATCATCGAAGAAGATCAAGAAGTAGCGACAACCAGTAAGGCTAGGCACAGGTATTGGGCCACAGATAGCTGAATGGACTTCTGACAAAGGTGATGTAGCACGTTTAACAACTCTATTAGAGTAAGAAGGGGGGGGGCGGTGTGACTTCGCTAACGTGCAGGCAACACAAAGGAAATCTGTCTCTGGACCTAGAGGTATAGATCCATCGAGTCCATGTATGGCTTGGCTCCTATATATGCCATTCAAGACACGAACGTGGCCACGGTGTTTATGTAAGAGCAGAAAGGAACGTTGCTTACCTGAGGCAATAAGAGCCGCTGGAGGTGCCACTGGGTTGGCTTGGAGCTAATACAGATCCGGGTTGGTATCCATGAGCGCTTTAATCTTAAAGCACTGGCCAGTTTGCATATAGCACTGTTTGCGGTCAAAGTTGAAGCGAAAGTCGAGCTTCACAGCTGCTGGAACTGATAGCATACTGAATTGAAGCTAGGGAGCATACCACCGCCATGAAGGATAAGCTTTCTGCATAGTGCCCTTGGTGTCAGTGACTTCCAGATCGACCCGTCCAATGCCTTCGATGGGGATTTGGTTATTACCACCAACCGTAATTGAACCACCACTAGAGGAGATGTCGGTGAGCCACTGAGATTCATGGATGACGTGGCGAGTGCAGCCAGAGTCGATCGTCCCGGTGGGGCAAGCTCTACCTTAGTTTGAGCGATGAAGCTAAGCGGGAGATTTACTGTGGTAGCAACAGCGATGAGACCGGTGTCACGACGTCCTTGGCTAGCTACATCGCGGTTGTTTCCAGAATCACTGTCGTCATTGTTCGGACTCAAGAGGGCGGTCCCTGTCACGATCTTGGCCGCGTTGTTTGCCGCCATTTCCATGCTTATTCTTGCTACTACTGCTTTTACCCTTGAGGTCGCGGTTGTAGTTCTTGCCGTGTCGTGCATTGCCACCTTTGGTCGAGTTCTGGTACAAGTGATCGCGTTTCGAGTTAACCTTGAGGGCGAAGTTAACAGGGAGCACTATCCCAGCCTTCCCTCGCCCATCTCTCAAATGTTTTGAAGGCCTCGGCATTGACGAGTGTTGTGGCGTGGGCGATACAGTAGGAGCAGACATTGGCGTTGTCACAGCCTTGAACGTGTGACACAGGAGGTCCGGTAGCCACTAGAGCTCTCTCACCTATGATTCCAGGGGTCAATGGTGTGCCCTTGGCCAAGGTGTAGCGATCTTGAGCTTGAAGATCGCGAACCTTGCCTTCAATGCTCTGCTTAAGGTCTTCATACCGGATATACTTCGGCTGACCCTTACACATGCGGAGATCGTCCTTCCACGGCTTGGGCATCGAGTGGAGCAGGTAGATAGACTTGTGTCCCTTGATTATAACCGATTCGGTGGCTTCTGACGCCGCTTTCATCGCGTTCTCAAGCTTAAGAAAGAACTCGGTTAAGTCGGAGCCTTCAGCAGACTCGATCTCCATCAATTAGTGTTGAATGAAGTACGAATCACCATGAAAGACTACCCCCTCGTACTTCTGGCAGATGTAGTTGAATCTCTCGTAGGATGTCGTGAGATTCTTGACCAGCCGCACGTGCATGTTGTCCATCGTTTTCATCAAGAAGGCTTTGACCTTGGCTTCTTATCGATGGCGTTCGCGCTGGCTAAGATGCTGGCGCACCTCTTTCTTGGCGCGTTTACGTGCACGGCGAGCCTCCCGCTGGTTAAATGGTCGAACCACCGAGAAGTCCTTCCTGTAATGGGCCTAACTCGAGGTTGGTTCACTTGCAAACGAACAATGCCTCGAGGAAAAGCTTGGTCGGACAAGGAAGACGCCGCCCTGTGCACGACGTGGTGCGCTACGTCGCAGAACCCAATCGCAGGGGCCGATCAGAAGGCGGACAACCTTTGGACGCTAATCTTGCAGTCATATCGTACGATAGTACCAGGAAGCAAGCGCCCTCCCATCGCCTTATAAAACCGATGGTCAGACATCAATCGAGAGGTGAGCCGGCTTGTTGTTTGTTTGGTTGTTGTTGTTGGACAAAACGAAAGTGGGAAAACAGAAGAAGACAGATTTGAAGACGCTCTGAAGTTATACGAGGCTCATCAAGGAGAGGGGTTTTCTGTTGCTGCTGCATACGAAGTGCTTAAGAGGAAGCCGAAGTGGACGGCGAGTGTGAACAAGAAGCGACCTGCTGATGGAAATGCTGCTGAAACGAGGGATGCCAAGCGTTCCCAAGGTGCAAAAGCAGCGATCCAATCGCTGAAGGAGGGGAAACCACTTGAGATACAGTACGCTGCGTCTAAATCGATCGCAAGATCAATGGAGCGCAAGAACGACATTTTGAGCGAGTGGGCAACCATCGAGCTCTTCAACATGCCCGATGCTGGCCCTGATCAACGCGCTCAGTTTTTCAAATTTCTGCGTCAAAATAAACTCTCCGAAATGATGAAAAAATTCGCGGAGTCGAAGCAGAGCGACGACGAGACGAGTGAAACCCACCAGGTTTCTGCTGCTGAAACTAAGATCCCGGTGGAATTCAATCAGGAGTCAAGTGGCGTTGCGAGTGAATCGCAAGAAAACAGCATTGCTGAGATTGCAGATTTGTGACCAGAGTTTGATGAAGCCAGTGTATTTTTTTTATAATGCATTGCCTTTATTTTTCCCAAGCATGTTCTACCAACTCTTTCTGAAGCTTGATGTACTCGTATTCGTTGTCAATATTGCTAAATGCATCGATGACGTCTGTAATTGAGGTGATAGGACAATCAGATTGCGATTCCTCTGGTTCAGGCGGATCTGAAAAATACACGACATGAAGTAAATCGTGCCGCGACTCCACTATCATGTTATGCAAAATAATACAGCAATGCATTACTTCTTCAAGCTTTTTAACAGTCCAGAACCGCGCAGGCAAAGCAAGTATCCTCCACTGTCGCTGAAGAGCGCCGAATGCTCTTTCAACGTCTTTCCGTAGAGCGGAGTGAAGTTTCGTATAGTTTTTCTCTTTTTGTGAGGTTGGCGTTGCTATACCTTTGGCAAATACCGACCAATTCGGGTAAATACCGTCGGCAAGCAATAACGAAGGGTCGCGCTTTGTCTTGCCAAGTTTGTACGTAACGCGAGGAATTTTACCGTGAAGCAATCGTCGTAGAAATGACGATCTTTGGAGAACGTTGATGTCGTTGTTGGAACCTGCTGCTCCAAAGTCAGCATGCCAAATCCACAGACCCCCTGATGCAATTGCTTCTAAAACAACAGTAGGTTTCTTTTCGCGTCCTTTGTATTGACCAGCGTGTGCTCAAGAGCATTACGCCCACTCCCATTTCATGCAATCAATCGAGCCTATCGTTCCCGGGAAACCTCTCGCTTTATTCACGTCCAGCAAAGCTGAAATGTCATGTTCTGTCGGTACTCGCAGGTACGTTGGAACAAATTGTTCTACAACGGCAAAACAGAACTCATCTAATATCTCAAATGCCGTAGATTCTCCGATAGAGCAGACTTCATCCATCTCATCCCCTGCCTTCGCGTATGCCAACATCTGAAACGCTCCAGTAATTTTCAACAAGCTACTAATTCCTGGTTTGCCAGTTGCATCAAAGCGCTGACTAAAATACGGATAATGCGAAATCAGCTCGTCGTGGACTCTCATGAATAGTGCCTTTGACATGCAATACTGACGTATAAATGTCCTGCTGTCGTGGAGTGGCGTTTCGGCGAAGTATCGCCGCACAAGCATCTCATTAGCCGCAGTGAAGTCTCTGTCGACATTTGCAGCCTTGCCGGGCTGTGAACCGCCGTGTTTTCTCTTTTTCGGTGCGCGAGGGGTCAAAAGTAGCGAGCAGACGTACGCCTCTTCCTCGTCGTCAAGAGCTTCTCGCAGAAGACGATTTCTCGACATAGCGACAGATTGGTGAGTGATGCCTCTCGGTGTCTATCGCCAAAAACATTTCGGCCAATCGGAAGATAACGAGTCTATAGATATAGCGACGCACCGGTGGAGATACTCTTAGTACGTACAAATGTACCGATACATGACATCCACTACTAGGAATCTCGGAGGAAGTGCTGGAGCGCATAAGAAATGTCTCGTCGGGAGAACTTAGAACGCCTGAGTATGGACTGGTTTGGTATGGCCGGAAGATGGAGGCTTCTACGGGTGCAAAGCTAGCTAATCGTAGTTGCTTGGGCGTGGTGTGCGTCGTGTGCAGCAAACAAGCCTTTTGAATGCAGTCCGCAAGAATGGCGAGTCCTCCTTCTAGCTGTGTACCGTGACATACTGCTCGCTTTTAGTGCATCGTACCCTTTGCAATGAACATTATGTTTGGTTTATAAACGTTCCAGGTTGGCTATACCTAATTAAAACCGTTTTTACGGCTAAATTGTTTTGCTACATGTACCAATTCATGTATATAAGTAATCGGTATACTCACTGAGAGCGAAAGCTTAGAAATAAATGCTTAAAGCTGCGCATGTGCTGGTAAAATAGTATATTGCAGATCGTCAACTTGACCGTGAGCGATTTCTGCTTCTAGAGAGAACTTTAGGTGCTCTCCAAAATAGCAATCTGATCAGCACTCACGACCATTCTGCATGTAAAGGGGTACAATCCAGTGTGCCTTATGTTACATAAAGAGTGACCCGACAGAGGAAATACCATCGGTCAGTAGAAAACTACTGATCTGTCCCCAACGCGGCGCAGAAAAGACGGCAATCAGTAGAAAATGATAAAGTTCGATCCGTACCTAACTCTAATCAAAGCTACATTTATGCTGCCTTCAGCAAAACCGCTTTTGCCCTAAGCGTACCATGCCTCGAAAGCCGCCTCCGAATTATGGGAGTTCTCCCTTCGTGGTAGATCTTTCTGACATCGCTACAGCTATAAGCATGGGTGTTTTGAGGGAGGACGCAAAAGTTGATACCTCAGACCGCTCCAGCCAAAAGTATGGGGGAGTATACGCGACGCGAACCAATATTGCAGACACTGAGTTTCCAACACAAATAAGGAAACTAACGACACAAACAATTGCAATCGCTGACTGCTGATTAAATATTAAGGTATTTCTTTCCAATAGATTATCTTACTGATCCTCATTCTCAATAAATATCAGCGTTGACTGCTGATTAATAATTAAGGTATTTCTTTCCAATAGATTATCTTACTGATCCTCACTCTCAATAAATATCAGCAGCAAACGGACTGGGAGTCAATCTCTGTGAGTAGATAGAA